TGCTTTGAGTTGGATCAGATACCCAATTCCCAACATCAAAGATCTTTTAGATAGGTTACAATCTGCTGTAATCTTTTCTAAATTTGATCTTAAATCTGGATATTACCTGGTACAGATTGCAGAAGAGGACAGGTACAAAACAGCTTTTTGCGTACCTTTTGGACAGTATGAATGGACAGTGATGCCATTTGGATTAAAAAATACCCCTTCAGAATTTCAACATATTTTGAATGACATATTTAATCCTTTTACTGAATTTTCTATAGTTTATATTGATGATATTCTCATATTTTCCAAATCAATCGATCAGCATTATAAACACTTGAAAATTTTCAAAGATGTTATTTACCGAAGTGGTTTAGTAGTTTCTGCTCCTAAACTAAAACTGTTTTTAACTAAGGTCTGATTTCTTGGTCATGACATTTGTGATGGAAAAATTCGACCAATTAATCGCAGTATTGAGTTTGCTTCTAAATTTCCAGATGAAATTAAGGATAAACTCAGCTTCAAAGGTTTCTGGGTAGTTTGAATTATATTCGAAATCACTACAGAGATCTTGCTCAGGATACAGCAATTTTGTACACCAGGTTAAGGAAATCTCCTTCCCCATGGACTTTGGAACACACCAAGGCAGTTCAGAAGATTAAACTCAAAGCAAAACAAATTCCTTGCTTAGCTCTAGCCAATTCTTCATGGTTCAAAATTGTGGAAACAGATGCATCCAATATTGGATATGATGGTATTCTTAAACAGAAGAATCCAAATACAAGAACCAAGGAGCTTGTTCGCTTCACTTCAGGAACTTGGAAAAATGCACAATTAAATTATTCAACCATCAAAAAGGAAATTCTTTCTTTGGTTAAATGCATTTATAAATTCCAAGATGATTTAATCAATCAGAAATTCTTGTTACGCATTGATTGTAGTGCTGCTAAACAAGTACTGGAAAAAGATGTAAAAAATTTAGTCTCCAAACAGATATTTGCTGGTTGGCAAGCTGATTTATCTGCTTTTGATTTTTCTATTGAATATATTAAAGGCAGTTCTAATTCTTTACCCGATTTTCTAACTCGTGAATTTTTGCAGGGTTCATGAATCCGCCCCCTCATGGGCAGGGCCGGGGTAATACTCTAAAGGCTCATGGCAAAAACAAGGCTAAGGCCAAAGTGGTTATACCACTCAATGATGATCAATTTCCATATTTGGAACATGTTGCCGATCTGCTCAACACACCTTCTAAAGGAAGTAGCAGTACACAACAAAAACAACAGAAACCAACCATGAAAGAGGTTCTTGAACAAGAAACTCCATGGATACCTAATCAAAGGTATATTCAAACAGTATTGGTACTGAATTCTCAAGATGAGCAATGGATGCCAGATCCTTGGGAAGTAAAATCCAGATATTTCCAAACTCAACAATATGCTGCACCGGATGGTCGCCATAGATATATCTATGAAGCCATTCTTACTGAAACTTCCTCTGTGGAGATCAACCACACGAAGCAATTTCTGAATTCCAAAGATAGTCCTCTTACTTATAGTAAAGCTATCTTTAAGAGGCTTATACGGCCTAGTGACTGGGGATTAAATCCCAATTTGCCAAGGAAAATATCCTATGGTCACAGTTACAATTATTGGGATTATATCTCAGCTTGGACATATTCGTTCTTTTATCAAAATCCGAAGCATAAGCATTCTTGGTTCTTCAAGATATGCCCTCAATCAGTTAAGGCTGATTTCCCAAACTGGGTTATACCCTGGTGGGCTATATTTGGCCCTGATCTGGATATGTTGCCCGAATCAATCAGCCAATTATACTTGCCATGGCAACAATTTCATCCTCAATTACGGGGACAGGATAATATTCCTGTAGGGAAATCCACCCTATTGTTCTTTACTAAATTTGGAATCCCTTGGATTTGGAAATGGGATTTCCAATGTGGTTATACCACTGATAAGTTACCAGTCCTTCAGAGGATCTTTTATTACCGATGGTGGTCAGGCATGACTCAAGCTCCTATCCAAGCCCTCCTCCATCAGATCAGAAAGAAAACACTGGAATACATGGATAAGATTCCAAAGTTAACTATTTCAGAACCCGAAATCTTTAACCCATTTGAACTTATTAAAGATATGATCAGAAAACAACAACCATTAATTACCGAAGCTGATTTAATGGTTAAATGCATGGATTTTATGAGGACCAAATTTGTTAAATCTTTTGATTCCTCCACACCTACAGTACGAGATGATGCATCCATGGTGTCAGTCTCTAGCCAGACCAGTCAAGAAGGTAATCAGTTTTCCTGTCTCGCTGGTTATGCTCAAGATCCCAATGAAGATCTTATTTCTGAAGATGAGCCTACAGTAGCCGACTATTGGGACTCTCTCACCAGTCACTTGATGGAAAAGATGAATCCACCTAAAAAGTAAAGATTCCTCTTATCCTGCCGACAGAAGAAGCCAACAAACTTTTCCCTAAAGTCTTTGGTTCTACAGTATTTCCTTCATCAGATGTCCACTTTCCATCCGATAAGGGCACAGAACTTAGTGGTGGGCCGACCGACTGCATTATTCTAGCACACGATCCCATGCACTATGCGGACTTCAAAATGTTAATTTCAAGTCCATTTCTATGTATAAATAGAGGGCAATGTTTCCCTTCAATGTATCTTTCAATTTCCTTTTCTCTCTTTTGTAATATTTCTCTATACTAGCTTGGAAGTTCAATAAAGAAAGTTTTCTGTAAGTCTTTACATTTCTTATTATTAATCATAGTTATTAGTAGTTATTAATCATAATTAATCATACATCGATCCTCAACTTTATTTGGTATCAGAGCCATGATGGCTTAATTTATTATTGTTAATGCTTTTTAGGTTATGGTAGCATGATTATTATAGTAATTATGTCATGAACAATATGAATATTATTCTGTCTAACTTATGTTTAAATCTGATTCAATTATGGGTCGTCCAAAAGTCGCGTTGGAATGTTTAACCCGTTTTTGCATTAGATTGCTGCACAGGGTACTGTTTCCAGTAAATCGTTGACAGACGAGTAATTGAATCTTAAGCAGAACGACGACAGAATAGTAACTTACTGTTCATTATATAATATTATAATATTTATACTAAGCAGACCTTAAAGCATTAACAATATTTAACAGACATGTTAAAACCATCATCCTCCTCTTCTGGAGTACAGGAAAACCAGGATTCCGAATTGGTAAAAAATACTGAATTAGTGGAATGGACCAATGTTCAAAATAAATTGAACAGATGGACTATCCCTCCAGTAAGTGCTAAGAGCATTTACAAAATCGGAATGCTTAATTTAACAGATCTATGGACTGTCAAGACCATGGAACAGACCATGCAATTAAGCACAAAAGATACAATAATTAAGTTATTGTCTTTCCGTGACCTTCAGAGGCACATGCACAAATATAAGTACATCCACATAGGTTTAATTCAAATTGCTTTTAAACCTTTAACCTTATTAGGTATGGATGCTTGTATTCAAGCAACCCTTAGGGATGCTTGATGTCTGAAATTTCATCCTTCCTTGATGGGTGCACTGGAAACCAGTCTATGTCATGGACCGGTTTATTTTAATGTCTATCCTAGTCTGAATTTATCTTTAACAGATAAAAACATCCATGAGGCAGTTAGTCTTCGTGTTCAGACCTATGGGTATGATTACTTACCTGGATCAGAAGTGATAAGTGTTATTTATCGCATCCATTACGAAGTACTTGATACTATGTGTCCCAATGCCATACGCAAAGACTCTAAAGGAGTAACAGCGTTATGGGATACCAACATGTACACATCAAATGTTGCCACAAAAAGGATGATTCCTTGGAGTGAGATAACATTTCCTGAACATTGGACGATTTCTAATGCCATTCCAGCACAGCCAATTACTAATCATAACTTAGACTGTGTTATTCAGGACCAAGATGGTGATGTTTTTCTGAATTTCAGAAAATCATTAGATCTACATCATCTAAAGGAAGTCATCTTCCTTATCATGTTTCTTGTCCTCCTTCTCGCCATTCAATTTCGTCGGATTACAGAAAGGAAGAAATCCCTGAAGTCGTTGGTCCAAATCAACTCAAGCTGAAAGGAATACAGCAGTCTCAGAATCAAATTCCAAGAGGAGTTTACGAGAAAGCACCAATAGGTATGTCTCATCGTCAATTTGGAATTGAATTCAGCCCAACTCCATCTGAAATGGGAATCGGAAATGAATCTGTGAAGGATCAATTTAACGATCCTACAGACATCAATGACCCTCATGAATATTAGTTTTAATGGATTTTTCCCCAGATAGAATGGCTATTAATACTGAATTTCAACAGGATCAATATAAAGAATTCAGAAATTGGTATTTTAAAGCTTTTGATCAACATCGATCCTCAACTTTATAATATTATTTTTTTTGGCTCAAAAGAAAAAAAATAAAAGTAAAAAAAAGTAAATAGGATAAGAAAAGAAAAGATTTATAGTGAAAAAAAATAAATATAATATTATAAAATAAGAAAATATGCATTAATGATCTTAAAAACCTCCTAGTGATTTGTTAAAAAAAAAAAAAAAAAATGTGGAGTGGAAATACCCTCCCTTAATATATTACGTTGTTGTTATTTTTTTTTTTTTTGTTGCACTCTGAGGAGTTAGCAGGACTTATTATTTTATTTTTTATTATTTTTTTATTTTTGGGAGAGTGATCGAGTGAGTACGTTTGGGTAAGTTTATCACAGGGGTGCACAAAAATCCTGAAATAGAAAATCAAAACTAGACCAGAACAGATTGGACAATTTAGTTTGGTTTGCTAACTGTTTGGCTCGGTTAGGGTTCTAAATTACCGAACCGTATATTTTATTATATAACAAAATATGTGGCAATCAAAATAATAAAACAAATAGCAGCAACAGAAGTATATTACAACTATTAGTAGTGAAGAAACAAATAGGGATAGTTAGTGACGTACCTCTAAGAAGCTTATAAATTTGTAGGAACAGAGATCTAGCTACTACCGTGTCCCAATTACACCACAAAACTCAACGCAGCAGATGAAGCTAGATGGAATATGCTATGGAAAATGACGATGAAATCAGGCTGTGCTTTCTATTATTTTGAGAAAGATGTTGCAATCAATATTATAAAACAAATAGCAGAAACAGAAGTACAAATAAATTTGTAATACCTCTAAGAAGAAAAGCTTATAAATTTGTAGAAACTTGGATCACAAACACACAGAAAACTCAAAGCAGCAGATGAAGATGGAATATGGTATGGAAAATGATGATGATGCAATCTGGCTGTGCTTCTCTATTATTGCCCTCTCCATCTCCTTTTATCTCTTTCAACTTTTCTGACTAAAACTTTCATGCCCCCACCAATAGTACTGTCTTCTTTCTAGTAATTTATGATATAGTAATTTGTTGGACATCTATATGGAATAAAGTAAGTCAGAGAATAACTCTTCTATCACCTGTAGAGGACCTAGCTATATTCACCAATGAAAATTTGGGTATAATATATATATGTAAAGATAAAAATAAGGTAAAAAAATGACTCTATCACCTCACTTGTAGAGAGTCTAGCAATTAATATCCTCCTCCACCAATGAAAATATGTTATACTAATTTCGCTTTTATTGATGAGTTTATAATTGTTATATTATTCTCATTCTTATTTTGGAATACAAAGTATTAATTCTACTTTATGTACTCTTTTTAATTGTCGGGATGAACCAGATTATGTCCCTTTTATTATGTAGTAAATAAAAAATAAAAATAATAGCCCAATACGCTCAAATTGAAATGATAAATAAACTGGCCAACAAAGTAATATATTAACCGATACTTCAAAAAGTAACAAGGACCCTACCTAGTAAAAGTTATCTAATTATTTTGTTATTAGTCTATTACTGGGGTTTAATTGAATGATTTGTTGAGTTGAGACTCAACACCCTTTCAGCTAATATATCTATAATCAACTTTAATTTATATTTAAATTTGAAGAAAATACATCAAAAATTAAGTTATGTTGAAATTGGATTAGGTTGAGCATTAGACATGAGTATTTTATCACTTGTAGTGATTTATCTAACCGAATAACTTTTAATTAATTATTTATACTAAATACAAGTAAGTGAAGGACCTCACTTTCTTATCTATTATATAAATGATTAATTGAAAAAAGTAGGTCAATAATTCACAGCAAGTAATCAGTGGAAGAATCATTTAAAAAATAAAATAATTCACCTACACACTCTGTCTTGCCTTTTACTCACTGTCTTGTCTTAGACTCGAACCCATAATGCAAAAGATTTTAGTGAACTAAAATGATATCGGCTCATATTCTATGTATATAAACATAAAAATAAGGGAGAAAATAAGATATCACTCTTGCAAAATATATTCCGGGGGATCCATTGTCATGTGGGCTAGAATTGGATTTTTTTTGGGATGTTTCATTCATCTATTTTTTCCTTTCTTTCAATATAATTTTTTGTCTTCTTACTGAACGAAGCGTAAAAGGGTAAAAATTAAAAGTACAAAGTAACTTGTCACATTAATCTACCATTGATTCTTGTCTTTTAGCACGATTGTTTAAGTTGAAATTATCTATCATACACAAAAATCACCTTTACTCTTAAACTCAATTAATATCTCTTCATTTCTTGATCATATGAATTATTGAGAAATCAAGGTGGTGTTTGGAGATTCCTTGTATCAAAAGTTGTTCATTAAAAATCCCTTTTAAGAAAGCGAGTTTGATGAAAGGAATTCAAAATAAGTAAATTGTTTGGTTAAGAATTTTATTAAAGTAATTTGAGAATTTTTAAAATTTTAATTTACAATTTTATCCAGCACTTAATAAGAAGGGGTCAATCAAAGTCGTGTTTTTTGGTGAAGACATTCTGAATTGTGCAACGAAATATATTGTAAAAAATTTAAGTTTTTATCTAGAGAGAATTTAATTAAGTGTATCTCTATTTAATGAACTCTACTAAAATTACAGTTTAATTAAAAAATCACATGCAAAATAAAAGCAAGTAAAGCAAAATAAAAGCAAATAAAGTGCTAGTGACATCGGATTTTAACGAGGAAACCAATTAGAAAACGTTGAGATTTTGTATACTATCCGAAGCATAAAAAAACTATTATGTATGAAGCAAAGTACATTGAACTTTGATTTAAACTCAAAATCTTTCGCTCTACCAAGACTCAATCTGCTGATTGTCTATGACTTTGCAACTTCTCATTCAACAGCTCTTGACTTTAGACTTATTTCTTAAACCCTATAGATTGATGGCTAGTAAATTAACAACATTCCACAAATGCCTTGATCCCTTAAAGTGCGATCTGAAAATTCTTCTGATTTGAATCTGAATTTGATGTAGAAGAAATAGATCTATTTTATGTGATCATTGCAATATTCAATAGACTTGAACACGATCAGAATTTGAACAATAACCTAAATTTATTAGTGTGTATATAGTATGAATGTTATTAAAAATCTCTCAAAAAAACCTTTTGGTAGAAGAAAAAAAATTAATGCAAAAAATCACAATAACCTAGATGAAAATATGCTATTGGAAAATGATGATGAAATTAGACTGTGCTTCTCTATTATTGCCCCTTCTTTTATCTCCTTCAACTTTTCTGACAAACTTTCATGCCCCACCAAAGACTACCAATAGTGTCTTCTTTCTAGTGGTTCCCAACGCACGCACGTTTATGATATGGGAATTTGTTGGAAATCAAGCAGTTTATGATACAGTAGTAATTTGTTGGAAATCTATTTGAAATAAAGTAAGTTAGAAAATAACTCTTCCATCACTTATAGTGATGTAACCAGAAATTTTGTTAGGGTTGCATTGTTGAAGAATAAAAAAATTTAATCATGAATATGGTTGGTGGTAGAGAATGAAAAAGAGATGATTATTTTTTAAATTTAAAAAAAATTAATAGGAATAAAAATGTGAAGTGTAATATTTTTATCAATTGAAAATTTACAAATTGAGGGAGAATATTTTCAAAATTTTAACAACATATATAAACAATAATGCAAATAGCAAAAAATTAGCATGAAAATCGAATATGCAATGAAGATCGAATATGCTGTGGAAAATCATGAAATCTAGCTGGGAAGGAAGATTGCATCTATCGTTAATTGTCATCGTCTTTCTCTCTCTTTCAAAATTTTCTAAAGTGCTTTCCATTATTGCCCCTCCGACCTTTATCTCTTTTAACTTTTCTTACTAAAACTTTCATGTTGTCCAATCATGCCACCCACCAAACACTACCAATAGTGTCGTCTTTCAACTTTTTCTAAAGTGCTTTCTATTATTGCCCCTCTGACCTTTATATCTTTTAACTTTTCTGACTAAACTTTCATTTTGTCAATCATGCCACCCACCAAAACTACCAATAGTGTCGTCTTTCAACTTTTTCTAGTGATTCGCATTCCACGCGCCAAATTTAGCGTGTTTGCTTAATTATATTCTTTATCATTAATTAAAATTTTAAAAATCACTAAGTTACCATTTTTTTATATTCAAAAACTTGAATTACTGTATATTTTGACACTTCATGACAAAAAATATCATGAAATGCCACTAAAATGTAAAGTATCAATTTTTAGAAAAGAATTTTATTTTTCATGTAAAATATATTTTTTATTTTTATTTCTTTGTTGTTTGGCAAAGGTTTAGGTTAAAGTTGGAGTCGAATCTATTTGTCCGAAAATTATTGGATAAATTATTTTTGTTAAATTTTAATATATTTTTTTTATAAATATTTTATGACAATAAAATTTTAAAAATTAAAATTTATTGTATAAAAAATATCTTACATCTAAACAAATCGAATCTTAATAACTTGACAAAAAATTTACATTCTTTTTTATAGAGCTCGGACACATAAGGTAGAGAAATGATAGCTTTCATCTCATCTTGATGGTGCTCGGACACTTAAGGTGGGGAAAGGGATAACTTTCTTCTCATCTTGATGGTTTAAAATTTTAATTTGCTTTGTAATTAGAACGCTGATGTCCTGGAGCCCATAATTGCTTTGTAATTAGTTATCATATATTAAAAATTAGTTTTCTTTTTAAATTATTAAAAAATTAGTTTCAAAATACTTTAGACTGTCTTTTTGTTCATTCCATTCCTCTCTTTCCTCCACCAAGGGGTGCACCCACGATGTCACGCTCCAAAAATTCTAACACAAGAACCCTTGTCTTATACTAAAACTTGGTACGTGACTCACATCATTCATCCACCATAATCCATGATTAAATCAATAAGAAAACATTTTTATTCAAAAATCTATCAATCCAAATGAAATTTATTACATCCCCAACTAATTCAAAATTCCACCAACTAAGTGAATCTTATTACAAAGTGTTCACTAAGAAACAATAATAAAATCATAATGTAGAAATCCGGAAATCTCCTTCTCTCACTGAGCCTCCTTTGCAAGCTAATCCATATGCACCTGAAAGTAATAAAGGGGTGAGCTCACAAGCTCTGCAAGAAATTGGTAAATACTATCATCGTTCAGCAAGCTAATCCTTACTTAAAATCCGTACATATATACATATATAAGTGACCGCGAAATATCTACTAATCATCGTCATTCTATAATATTAACTCAACCTGTGAAATTGTAACCTATCTAGAATTTAAATTACTAAAATTCCCACTTAACTCACATGAGCCCCTGGCTCCCCTCAATCAGTTAGCGTTTTAATGCCATTACCTTACATGAGCCCCTGGCTCCACTCCAAATAAATGGTGTAAATTGTGTAGTCCCTGACTACCAAATATACACATGTGACTGGGTTGTACGTCTACTCACCCAGATGGCCCCTGACCACGTCCACATACTAAAGGCACCTTTAGCCCAATGGCCATAACAAAAGAGTATTTCACTCCCAAAGACAGTCCCTGACTGCGCTCAACAAACTTATCATTGGATAAGTCCCAGACTACCGCTCCAACTAGTTTAATCTCTTTAATTAAACACTAAATATACTTAATCAACTTTTACTCATAATATCATGAGTTTATCCAACACCTTAATTAATCATTCACTAATTAATTAATTAATTAATTAATACCAACGCATAGTCTTAGAATAAATTACAAAACTATACTCTAAATTTCAACCTCAATATCATTCAAAATTGTTCTTCCCTTAACTGTACTAATCTTCCTCGATACCCATTCTTAACCTATTATGCCAAAATTGATTCTTTACCATTTGGTACCCAATTGACCAAACATAAACTATATATATATATACCTCTGTCTGTAGTCTGCACACACACAAGTGACCCTAAATCCAACCTCTGTAACGAAACTAATCCAAAGACAGAATTCAAAAAAAAAAAAACACTCCTGTGACGCACACAATTAATTTGATCACCTGGTCCTCCAGTGGTTTGCACCATCATTACCCATATTTCCATCTTTCCCTT